GGGCATGGTGGTGCATGCCTGTAGTGCCAGCTACTTGGAAGGCTGAGGCGGAAGGATCGCCTGAGCCCAACAGGTCAAGGCTGGGGTCCCAGGCTGTGAGTGTGCCACTGCACTCCAGCCTGAGAGACAGAGTGAGACTCCAACTTAAAAAAAAAAAAGAGTGGGAGAGGAAGGGCCAGGAAGAGGTCAAGGCTAGCTCTGAGACACAGGATCCCAAGATTGGGACCCAAAACAGAAAGAGGGTGGGCTGAAAGCTCAGACCAAGTCCAGGGAAGGACAAACCCAAAAAAGTATAGAAAGATAGACTCAAAGAGAGAGAATGAGACAGACAGAAGTCCAGAGAGAGACACAAAGATAGACCCAGAAAGAGAGACCAGAGAAAGACATAGAGACCACAGGGTAAGACAGATAAACATACAGTGGCTCAAAGAGAGACAGATTTAGACAAAGGCCCAGGAGAAAGGGCAGTGCCTTTCAATAAGTGGAAGCCAGGAGAGTAGCAGAAAGCTGGGAGGAAGGTCATGCCAGAAATGGGGTTAAGACATCTGGCCTCCTGGACTAGGGGGGCTACAGGACCTGGGGCAGGTTCCTCTCCTGGGTAGCAGGCGGGAAGAGGCAGAGGGAGGCGGCAACAGCAGCTGGCAGGTCATGCCATGCGCAGAATGTGGAGAATGCCGGTCGCCTGCCCCAGCAAGTCCCTCAGCGGAAGCAAATGCCTGGGGGGGGGGAGCAGGAGCAGGCAGGCTGCCCTGGGCCGCCCCCTCACACCTGCTGCCCTCTGATGGAGGGTCAGGCCCTGGCACAGGCCAGCAGAAGGGCCCAGGACTACAGCCCCACTAGGCCACCGGATATGGTCTGCCCTACCTTAGCCTCAGGGGGAGAAGGACCCAAGGTATCGACCTCCCAAGGGTTTAGGGAGACCTCTGGGAGAAGAATGAAAGAGTCGGCTGTTTGGGAACCTGAAGGCCGCCTGGATACCTCACTCAGCATGGATGTTGTCAGGGAGGCGCTGCTCAGAACTCCTAGGACAGGCACTGGACAAGTTCTGATGACCAGGTGGCCTCCAGCAAGGGGCCTCCCTCCCTGAACCTCAGTTCTACCCCTGGACAATAGGGCTAGTAATCCTTGCTTCACAGCATTAAGTGGATTTGATGAAATTGCCCCAAGCCTGGGACCAGGCGCATGGTATATGCTTAGTAAAGAGTGGTTACTATTGTCATCATTATTATTATTATTATTATTTTTTAGTTAGAGTCTCACTCTGTCACCCAGGCTGGAGTGCAGTCGCATGTTCACGGTCACCACAGCCTCGACCTGCTGGGTTCAGGCGATCCTTCCATCTTAGCCTTCTAAGTAGTTGGAACTACAGGCATTCACCATCACGCCCGGCTAATTTTTCTTGATTTATTATAGAGATGAGGTCTTGCCAAGTTGCCCAGGCTGGTCTCGAATTCGTGGGCTCAGGCAATCCTCTTACCTCAGCCTCCCAAAGTGCTGGAATTATAGGCATGAGCCACCGGGCCCAGCTGTTATAATTATTTTTTAGTTTGGGTTTTTTTTTTAGTTGGAGTCTCACTCTGTTGCCCAGGCTAGAGTGTAGTGGCACAATCATGACTACTGCAGCCTCGACCTGCTGTGCTCAGGTGATCCTTCCACCTCAGCTCCATGTAGCTGGAACTACAGGTGCATGCCATCATGCCCAGCTGAATTTTTGACTGATTGTAGAGACAAGGTCTTGCCAAGTTGCCCAGGCTGGTCTCAAATCCCCCTGGCTCTGGCAATCTTCTCACCTCCACATCCCAAAGTGCTGGGATTACAGGCATGAGCCACCATCCCCAGTATTATCATTATTGAGCATCCTTAAGGACCTGGGATCTGGGGCCAGACAGCCTGGGTTCAAATCATTGTTCTTTCTCTTCCTAGCTGGGCAACCTTGGGCAAGTCACTTAACTTCTCTGGCTGCGGTTTCCTCCTCTGTCCAATAAAATAATCGTACTGACCTTCCAGGCGTTGTGAGGATTCAGGGAGTAAATGCTCAACAGGACTCACTGATGCATGCCAGGCCCCTGCATCTCCTGGGCTCAGGAGATTATTATTACTGTCACTTTTGGTAGTGTGAGTCCTGCAATCTAGAAATTGGGAGACTTGTTCAAGGCCCAGTCCTGCCCCTCTCCGGCTGGATGACCTCAGTGGAGACTCTCCTTTTGTCAGGGCCTCACTTTTCCACATCTGGAAAACAGTGGCCAGAACCCTGCTGGGCCTGCCCTGATAGGCCTCAGTGTTATCTTCACCAGTGCTGTCTCTTCCCACTTAGCAGCAGTACAGGGGAAATGTTGGGGGCTCTGGGCACAGGCAGAGTGAAGGGTAGAGGGCTGGTTAGAGACCCTCTGCTTTAGTTCCTTCTTGGCCTAAGGATAGAAATCCCTTGGTGTGCCTACCCCTGTGAAATTTTGCCCATATCACTTACCATAACAATGTAAAAAATATTGAGGCAGGGCAAAACACACAGCTTAAAAACTCAGCTTGTGCATAAAGGGCAGCATAGCCCTTGTGGCCCTGTGTTCTGGCACTGGGGATGGACCTGATCTGGAGCTCCATGAGTGCAGGACTGGGGTCCTCCTGAATTGGCCCCTGCCTCCTGAATTGGCCCCTGCCCCAGTGGTTTCTACCACAACCATACCCCACCCTCCTTCCTCTCTGGTCTCCCTGTCTCTGGTCTCAGGGACTTGAACCCACTCACCATGATGTAGCCATGGTTGAATCTGCTCAAACCTTCCATGGCTCCCTAGTGCCATCAGAATAAAGTTCACAAGTTTTATAAGGGCCCTCTTTGATCTGACTTTTGCTCATCAACCCAGCTGCATATCCCAACACTCACCCACCTTCTAGAGCCCTTGAATTTGCAGATTCAGCATCCTGTAAATATCTGCTTTTGCCTCAAGGTCTTTATACAAACTCTTCCCTCTGCCTAAAGGTCCTTCCTGCCTGTCTTGCCAGACTCTTGTCCGCACAACCTTCAGATTTTAATCCTTGGTCCCTCTTCTTTTTTTTTTTTGAGTCGGAGTCTCACTGTTACCCAGGCTGGAGTGCAGTAGCACGCTCACAGTCACCACAGCCTCGACCTACTGGGCTCAGGTGATCCTTCTGCCTCAGCCTCTCAAGTAGCTGGAACTACAGGCATGCACTACCACACCCAGCTGATTTTTTTATTTATTGTAGAGACGAGGTTTTGCCATGTTGTCCAGGCTGGTCTCGAACCCATGGGCTCAGGCAAAGTGCCTCCCAAAGTGCTGGAATTACAGGAGTGAGCCACCGCACCCAGCGGCCTCTCTTCTAAAAAGCCCTCCCTGACTTTTCAGGCTAGATTAGCATCCTCTCTGGGCTCCCATGCCTGGGCTTTCCCCACTCCATCCCTGACTACACTGGACTGTCACTGTCTACTCCAGGACTGCTAGCCCTCTAAAGGCTCACAGCACCATCCAGCATTGGGACAGACACGGAGGGGGCCCTAAGTCAACAACAAATTAACAAACAAACAAAAACAAAAAAGTAAAATTTTTAAAAGATGCTAAGGAAGGAGCTGCCAACGGCTCTGTCACCTTCTCTGTGACTTGCTCCTACAAGAACCAGCTTGCCCAGGCCCCTGGCTCTCCAGCACCATCTCAGAAATACCACCATTCCCACCCCCAGCCTTAGCCCTCCAGCCACCGTGGCCTTCCTTCTCCCCTTCCTAGGCTGTGCTCCTTCCAGCCTCGGAGCCTTCCCATCGGCCTCCCCCCAGGAGGCTTTTCCACCTGGGTTGCTGGTTACGACTCATCCTTCAACTCTTGGCTTACACACCCTGTCCTGAGGGCAGCCAGACTAGACACACCTGGAAGAGTGCTCATCACACCCCTGGTTCCCCACCATAGCACTGATTGCGTTAGTGGTTTTTACTGGGTGTAGCAGTGAAGACAAGTGCTCTAGTCCTTGTCTTGCTACCTCTTGACAGAGGACCTGTTAGAGCCTCAGTCTTCCCATCTGTAATCCAGCACTATGGCCAAGTGGTCACAGGCCAGTCTGCCTGGGTTTGAGGGCTGGCACCAGGATTTACTAGCCATGTAACCCTAGGCAAATTATGAAGCTGGTCTGTTTCTTCTAAACAAACATAATCATAGCACTTTCCCGACTGTGTTGTCAAGACAAGATGAGATAATATTTGAAAAGGGTTTAGGACAGGGGGTGTGTGGTGACTGCTATGTTATGGGGTGGGTGTGAAAATCTGGCATAATAACCTACATGCAGTGTTTATCATGGCAGTGCCCCAGTCCAGTCCTCCAAGACATGGAAGCTGTCACCACAATTATCATTCTCTGTTACCCATTAGCTCCATGGAGACCTGACTCAAGAGTCATGCTCAGTAAAGGCTCGCTGATTGATGGACTTGAGAGTACATTCTCCAACAGGAGGCTACTAGAGATGGAGCACTGAGCCTTAAAAGTCCAGTCCCTTATTTGACATATGAATTCACGCTGAAACATCTGTGCAGAAGAGCCCAGCCTCCCCTTGAAGCCCGCCTGAGGTGGGGAGCTCACCTCTCTTGAGAGCCTAGCTTGTAAGAGGCCCTGTTCCAAGTGAGCCCCCACTCAGACCATCCACCTGCACTGCTTACCTGTTCCAGGTCGGCCCATGATGACTTCCTTCTTGGGGGCAGGATGGCTGCTATAGCTGCTGGGCACCAGGACGGGCAACAGAGCAGCAGGTGAGGGGTGGAAGGCCACAGGCTGGAAGGGTGAAGAAGCCAAGCCAAAGGTGGGCATCGGCTGGGCAACGGCAGTTGGTGCAGCTGGAGGCACGGTGATGGGCACAGGGGCTGGCAGAGGTGGGGGCAGGCCAGGCTTCCCACTGGCAACCCCAGGGGGGACTGGGGTCTCACGGCAGCCCCGCCCAGGTCCCCCAGGCCGTGCCTCACCAGCAGTGCCCACCTCCCCAGGAAATTTGGAGGGTAGTGGCACATCAGGGTTGCGGACAATAACAGGTGAGTCCCGCTGTACGGCAGGCACCCTGCGCACAGAAGGCCCCGGATCCGAGGTCAGACCAGCAGGTGGAGGCAACAGCAGCAATGGTGAAGGCTGGCGGGAACGAGAGAAGGGCACGGCAGGTGACACAGCCCGGAAGCCAGCCGGTGTGGAGGGTGTAGGCGTGTGGGACACCGAGTCCACACCAGAGTCTAAGCTGTCGCTCTTAGGGAAGTCTGGGGCGGCTCCTCCACCCCCTGTGCCAGGGGCCCCCAAGGCCCCTGGGTGCTGCAACAGCTCTGTCTTCCGCCGCCCGGGGCTGATGGGCACGGTAAAGGTCAAGTTGGTCTGGAAGGTAGGTAGGATGCCAGAGGAATGGCGCTCTCTGGGGGCAGGTGGCGGTGGGTGGGGGCCTAGGTCTGGTGGTGTCAGCACACCTGCCTTAGGGGTGCTGGCACTCAGGTGGCGACTGCGAACTGCGGTGCGCTGGATGACCGGCGAGGCATTGATGGGGCTGAAGTTGGCGGGGCGGAAGCCAAAGAGAGGTGAGGGTGAGGGTGATGGAGCTGGTGAGAAGGGCGACTGTGTAGACACGGGCGAGAAGGAGGGTGTGCCCGAGCGTGAGCTGCCCAATGACACCAGCATCACAGCCGCCTCACACTCGTCAAACTCAAAGCGTGACAAGTCAGCGGGGGCCACCAGGCGTGGCCGTGAGTCTCCACGGGCTGCTACGCTGCTGGCCTCACTGTCGCGCGATGTCTCATCACCCCAGTCAAATTCGGTGCTGCCCTCACGGGTTGCCACACCAGCCGGCCGCCCTGCTCCACCAGGCCCACTCTCCGCCAGGCCCTCCATCTCTTTGGTTCGCATGGATAGGTGGCGCGAGCAGTAGCCCCGCCGCTGTGACTCCTTCATGCAGCCATCTCGTGAGCACAGCCGTCGCCATTGCTTGCCGTTGAACTTCTTTCGGATTCCATTAGGTGTGCAGACCACATCGCCTTTCTTATACTTCTGCTGGGCAGCTGTCAGTGGTGTGCGGGCCCGGGCTGCTGGCGCAGCCCCCTTCTCCAGTGAGGCCACGCTGCTGCTACGGCTGCCACCCTGGCTCCCCTCCTGGCAGGGCGAAGGCTGCTCACCAGGGCGGCCAGGTCCCACAAAGGCTGGGGACTTGGGTGGCGGTGACAGGAGCTGGGGTGGAGGCAGTGGTAGCAGGGCCGGGGTGCCCAGGGCTGGTGGGTGCTTCTCCTCACCCTCCTCACAGTGAGCACCCAGGTTGCCACCAAAGCTGATCTTGGAGACCTCAGCATCCTCAGGCTGCTTGGGGTCCAGGGCAACAGGGCAGGGTGGCAGGGTGGCCCCAGGCTCAGCCTGCTCTTCCTCAGGGCCTGTGGGGGGCTTCCTCAGCAGGGCCTCAGGCTCCCAGGGAGGCCGCAGCAGGCGCAGGCTGGAGCGGGCCACCCATACGGCCTCTTCAGGCTCACGGTGCAGTGGCTGTGGGGGCTGTGGTAGGCTACCTGGTGGGCCTGGCTGGGAGCTGAGGCCAGGACTGAGACGGACTTTGTAGGCAGCTGGCTTGGTGGCCACCTCCACCACCACACCCTCCCGGTATGCAGCCACACCAGGCTCCACACAGGTACAGACAGCTGTGCCTACCACCAGCGCACCTGGTGGCGGTATGGCATCCAAAACCACATCCACACCACTGCCTGCTGGCACCCCCTCGTAGAAAGTCAGGGCCCGGTCACCAGAGAACTGCACACCCAGATCCTGGCTTCGGCGCACCTGGCGTACCACAGCTGGCAGGAATAGGCCATCACCACGCCGAGCCAGCACCCGCTGGGACCGCAGCTGCCGCAAGTCATAGCCACCACTGGTGCTACCGGGGGGCCAGGGGCCTGGACCACAAGCCTCGGCCGGCTCATCCTCCAAGTCCGCTGAGTGCTCGCTGGCTGTGTCAGTGGAGGAGGAGCGGGCGGAGGTGGGTGGCCGTGGAGGCACACCCAGGGCACTGGCCTCCTCAGGGGTCCGCACCCGTTCTTCAGGGGCCCCAGCCACCCCACCGCTGCCAGCCCCATGCTCCTCCACATACTTCTTCTTGGGCGCCCGAGACTTGAATGTGGCTGTCTTACGGCTGAGTGAGGGTTCCCAGCGGCCTGCCTCCCCGTCCCCCTTGGGGTCCTCAGCAGGGCCTGGGGTTGGGTCACCAGGGTGTAGCTCCGGGGGTGGGCCCTCAGGCTCGGGGCCCCGCTCAGCTTCCTCCTCCTCAGCCTCTTCAGCGTCTTCTGGCCCAGGCTGCTGCTGCTGCTGTTGCTGCTGCGCCTCATCATCCTCCTCCTCTGGTTTGTCACCCTCCCCAGCCCCTCGCCGCCTCAGAGCTTTGGCCCTGGTGGCTGGTGGGGACTTGCTGCCGCTGCCAGGACCTGAAAGGCCAGTGCAAGCCTTCTTCATTGGCTTCATCTTTTGTCCGCCTGCAGGGTGGGAGAACAGACAAGGATCACCGGGAGACCTCAGAAACGCCCCTAGACCCAGTGTCTCCCAAGACCACCTACTTTCTGAGGCCACTGCCTCAACCCCATAATCTCCAAGGCCTCTTCCCTGGTCACCCTCAACTCATGTGGTCCCCTGGCTAACGCCCAGACACAGACTAGCACTGGAGTCCCCTGAGCATATACACTCTGGCTCCTTGGGGAACACTCACGTACACCTGCTCTCTCTGCAGAGGGCACAGATGCACATGCTCTGAATGCCCCAAGGGGATATGAGAAGCACTAACAGTTCACACCTATGGAGCACTCACTTTGTCCTGAACTCAATGCTCACCTTGCTTTTATTGACCCATTTCATCCTCATGGCAGCCCTAAGAGACAGGTGTTACTATCAGCCTCATTTTACACTTGAGGAAACTAAGGTGTAGGCTGAGTAAGCAACTTGTCCAAGATCATCCAGCTAGGACATGACAGAGCTAGGGTCTGAGCCCAGGCAGTCTGGCTCCAGAGTCTGTGTTCCTAACCATTTCAGTGTGTTGCCTGTCACATGATCCAGAGAGCACACTTACTCTCACTGTCACCATCCAGATTACATGCACTCAGATGCACACACAAGCACAAGCACTAAGTCACAGAAAGAGAGGTGACTGGGCTGTGGTATGAGCGTCTCTCAAACCCTCCTACCCTCCCTCCACCCCTATGGCAGCCTGTCATGGCCAGGCATTGTGGGAAGGAGTGGGCAGCTGACAGTCCGGAGGAATGGCTGCCCACTCTGCTCTGCACCCTGGGCCTGCCAGATACAGCCATTTCCTTCTGGCAGGGAACAGGCAGGGGCACGTCTGGGGCAACAGCTCTTACCCAGCACTGCCACGGGGCTGTGCGTGAGCTCACGCACGCGCACACAGACACGAGCACACACACGCACGCACACACACACACGCACACACGTCATCACACTGTGGGACACAGAGCTACACCCCAGGGTTTCTCTGTCCCACTAGATGGGAGCTTGCCCCTCCTCCCACAGCACCCAGCGTGATACCCACGGGCCCAGCCCCCCCTTCTGGCCTGCATGCATCCCTGCCCTGGCTGGGCTGGCTCTGGCAGGGTGGCTGAGTTAGCCAGCCCCCCAGGCCCCCAAATATGCCCTCCACTTCCAAGTGGGGATAAATGGGATAAGGTCAAAGAAAGCAGGACAAGCCCAACAGGCCAACCTCACCCACTTCCTGAACAGTCATTACTGCCCGCCCCCTTGCAAGCTGCCCTGAGAAAAGAAAAGGGGGAAAAACTTTACTCTGAAGTAACTCCGAGAACCTGAAGAGCCAAAGGGGGCCTCTAGGAGGGTTGGGGGGTCCAGGACCATAGGCCAAACACAATCAGAGGCACCCCTGACTCAGTCTTAGGGCTCCCTGGGAACCACGACCTCCTGCTCTCCTACTTGGGGCCTGCTCCTCCTCTGGACCCTGCAGACCCAGGCCTGCCACTTCTTGGGCCAACCCTAGAGTCCTCATAGACAAAGCCTGGAGGGCCTGAGGTTGGAACCTGAGTGTCCAGGACTTGGGCAGCCATCACCACCTACTCCCCACTAACCCTCTGGGCCACAGTCTTGGGGATGGGGTTCTGGCCTCAGTCCTGCCTAAACATAAACCTTTGCATACTCCACCCCAGGGCCCACAACTACACTGTCTAGCACCCCTAGATCCTGCTGCCTGGCTCAGCTTCTTCATCCAGAAGCCCAGTCTCTTTCTTTCCCCTGGGGCCTACTCTCTTCCTTCTGGATAACTCCCACCCGAGGTCCTGTGGGCCTTCACCTCCCTCAGAATCTGAGCAGTAACTCCTGAAGCCCAAGCAAGCCCAGGCCAGCCCAAGCCCTGGCTCTTTGGGGGTCTCACACCCTCTGCTCCTGGCACCAGCTTCTCTGCCACTCTCTTTCCAATCCTGTCACTACATTTACCTCTCTCCTCACAGGCCCTAGGTCCCCTCCTCTATCACCCCCTCCTATTTATCTCTGTCACCTTTCCTCCCAGTCACTCTCCTGTCAGCCATCTCCGGACCTGTCACCTTCTCTCCCCATCACCTCTCCTTGTTACCCCCTCCAACTCTGCTCCCTCCCTCTCCCTGTCACCCTGATCTAGTCCTGTCACCCCTCCATTCCTGTTAACCGTTCTCTGCCTACCACCCCCTCCCCCAGTCACCCCTTTTCTGTCACCCCCTGACCACTTCTTTCACTCCCTTCCCGCTTCCCACCATTCTGCCTACCTCTTTTCCCCTATACCCTTTCCCCGTCTCTGCCACCTGTCCCCTCTCGGCCCCCGGCCCCCTGGACGCCCCCTTCCCGTGTCACCCCTAGCCCCGCCCCTCACCTTGGGCTCGGCGGGGTTTCGAGGAAAAAAATTCAATTCCTATAGTAGGTAGAAAAACCCTACAGTAAATGTAGCTAAATCCGGCCTAAAATAATGCAGCTAAGTTCAAAGTACTCACTGGGCCCTCAAGAGTATGGCCCAGCCCAAACTTCATACTGGGCCATTTCTGATAACTCTA